GAATATTCATAGGTATGCGGTAGCATGGCGATGGCATCCTATAAATACTACACCCCCTTGTGTATGAACCACCCGTGTCTGCTTTTTTCTCTGATGATGGGTTCGAGTACGAATCTGAAACCTTAGGCTAATAAAGCTCGTGTCCCAGCGAACGTGTCTCCCTCTTCAAGACTGCTTCCGGGACTCGCCTCTTCGCTTCTATTGGCAATATCATGAGTTGGCATACCTACTGTACTTGCGACATCTGAACAGTTCGGCCGGGGCCTCCTACTGCACGCATTACCAGAGTCTAGATCAACTCTCATTCTTTGCGGTAAAAGCATCAAAAGGGTGTTCTGACTTGACGTATAGTTTACCATCAGCGCCCTTGACCGGCATTATGGAGCAGAAAGTGGAGCCGGTCAGTCAACACGAGCTCCGACAAACCCACGCGTGTCAACTAGAGACATGGGTGTATGGCGGCGTAAATTTATCCAGAAAATCGATGCAAAGCGGCAATCAAGAGTTCGCGTCACGCGGCTTAATTGATTAAACATTAGGTTAGACGACAGAAAAAAGTGAAGACGATGCACAAAAAGAATGTGCAAATCAGAAGTCTGGGGATTGCCGAGGAAAGACGAGATTAGTCAATTGACCTTGTTTGGACGGCTGGGGCTTTTTATTCCGTACACTGATTACTTTCGAGCAGCTCGTTGTGAGAGGAGGAATTCAGAGAGCTCGTTTGGGACTGTCTCTGATGATGGGTTCGAGTGGGAATCCGAAACGTCGGGCCAATAAGTTTCTTGTTCCAGTGATCGCATCTTCGTCTTCTGAATATAATGTTCACTATCTGGCACTCGCTCCATGACAACAGAGCGAGGGATTTCGTTGATTAATTGTAAGTTCGTGCGAATTCATAAACAAATGCTGCGGTAGCATTCATAAACAAAAAGCACTTCATCGAGTTAATTGGGATGGCTTTTCTTGCACTGATGACAATGAGAAGGCTGTGGTGTAACTTACGCTTAGCCATGCATGAAATACTGTATCTCTCAAGCTGCAAGACATTTATAATGAACTTCTCGGAACTGACTGCTTTGTAAAACTCCGTCGCAGAAAATTACTATAATTCTGTTTGGATAACCTAGCTTGACCACGGTTACTTTGACGTGCCGGCTTCCGAATCGAATGTTTCAGTGAGACAAGTTCTCTTTGCTCTTTCAAGGGATGTAGACAAGATTTTGTGCGCCCATCCTTGGCACAAAACTAGTGAAATAAGGCTGCTGGTTTTTTCATATAGTCTTATGGGTGAATGACCAGTTGATAAACTCCCCCCCCCCCTACTGTCTGCACATATAGATGTCCAGAACAAGCATTTTATCGGCCTACTTGCTTTCCATCGCGAATTTAATTTCAGGCCGATGCCGCTTGTAGTAAAAAGTAGACCCCTGTTATCTTGAACATTATTTATAGCCGCCACCATGCTGTCGTCGCATCGCTGTATAGCGCTGCTTCGTCCAGTTTGGCGGTTACGGTTCGCCTTCAAGCTCATCTCCAAGCCCACGCAGACGGTTGCATACCGATGTGTAGTCAGTATCCGAAATGCGGTACGTCAATTCATGGCTTAATCGCGACTGTCCGTCAGCCGTATCCCACCCATTGAGAAGAACTCAAACCGGAGCTCAGAAGTCCCTGAGTGTCAAGCCAAATGTTTTGACATGATGGTTTGTCAGGACGTCATGACAATGTGGAATTACTCACATTTCTTTTCTCGCCCAGAAGGTTGGGACGAAGTTTCAGGAAAGATTTATGTACAGTCGGGTCGCTAACGGTGCCTACTCGGATCCCTCGTACGAGGTTGTTACTTCTAACACTTTGGTCCGGCAACGTGACCACAAAGGCAGTGGCGGTAAGCACACACATTTAGTGGCAGTTCACGGTCACTATGTTACACTACCGATATGCGGTATTCTGGAAGACAGTCGGTGCACCGGAGTTTCAGCCTCCCGCTTTCTGCTAGTACTGACTATTCGTCCGATCCGAGAGCCTGCTATTCTGCAGCTAACCTCCGTTGAAAGCCGTTCAACTATATGCCCTGTGTACGCGCCAGGTAGCCAGTAACTAGGTTTCGGCGCTCAGAGCCCTGCCTAAATGTGTTTTCACTAGTAATTTGAAGTTTAATCTGATTCTGAACCACAAATTCAGCATACTACCTTTTTTGCTCCTTGCCAATCCCGAAAAAGAGAGTGACCCACAGAAGTACTTACACAATCCTCCACTGAATGCAGAAGGTCTTCATTCGTTGAAGAAGGCGGAACACTCGCAGGTGAGGGGGGGGGTCTATCAGGTGCGCCTAAACACACATGCAGAGTCCGATGAGGGGAACTGTTGCGCTGGGTGACGACTGGATGACGACAGGTCTTACCTGCGACCGTCTGAACGACCGACTCCTCACCGGGTGGACTTTGTGAGATGTCAATTAGGAAGAGTTCGTCATGATCAGACAGGATGCCAATCAGGAAATGCGATGCTTCTGTGCTCTGATCGATGCCAAAGACCTTTCCATTGATCGCCGTCACTGGGGAGGAATAAGAAGGCGCGGAAGGGCAGGAATGAGTATTGAAACGGAGTAACAATTTAGGTCTTGCTACGTCAGTGAGAGCATTAAAACAGTCAAGTCGACAAAAGCCCGTTCTCGATTATCCGTCGACAGACTTGTAAAACAATAATGCAATAATATGTAGAGAACAACCAATGACATGAGTTAGGGGAGAGGATTGAGATGCGTTCGCGCATGCCAAACAGCAGAAAGGAGTACTTATGATGTGATTGCGAACTAATAGGAATGAGAGAGGGCGTCAGTTCGAGGTTTGCGCTGTATCGCTCTAACGCTACGTGGAAGGAAGCAGGCAGGTTTGCGTGGGATTCAGTCTGGGCCAGGGCGGTGCCTTCTGCGGACGGAAGACCGGGTTGGCTAATCGTGCAGTCACCGCCCCTTCCGTTGCAAGTATCCACCGGAGCAGGGCTTAAGGAGAGTTCATTTAACCGTTCTTGACATGTATAGACAGCCCCAACCCCCTGTCACATCAAATTTCACTGGTCGTCCTGCAACGTTCGCTGACCGGCCGTGACCCGTATAACTGCACAGATCTGATGATGGAAAGTCGAAATCTTGCATTCACCCACTATGAACTCTTCAACTGTACATGTGCTCAAATGGTGACCCCGCCGTACTCACTTAAGCAGAGGTGAGAGTTTGGGCATCGGGTGCAGGATGATGGAATACGCCCGGTGCATGGGGAGCAACGATGTAGGTGGAAAAGAGGCAACTCGGGACAAAATCACCAGGACAGGGTCACGCTCGCTGTCAACTTAAATTTAAAACACCGAAGTAATAGGTCGCATCTTCATAGAATGGGGCGTCTCGACCCTCTCAGAACTATGCGCATAATTATGAGCAAGTATCTCTTCATTGGTCGAAGAGGTCTCTTACAGCGCATGATCATTACTTCCGTCTCCAGGATAATGCATTATTCGACAGAACAAGTTTTAGATGCAGAGCTGAGAGCTGCAGAGCAATAACAGTCAACAGACTGAAGCAGCAGGACGAATAAAAAAAATACACCAAAATTATTCTAGAAGAAGTACTGAGAAGGCAAACTTCCGGAAGCATTCAACGGAGTGGTCAGTTGTGGTTATTTAGCCCCAGCTGGAAGGGGATGTGCGGTTGTACTTTGAATGGTTAAGAAATAGTTGCTCTAAACCCTAATTCTAACCCCTAACCCTAACACCTAGCTCTATCCCCTAACCCCTAAATCCTAAGGATATGTCCTGACCCCCAACCCCAACCCTAACCTTCTAACCATAACACTTAACCGCAGACCTAAGCCATGACCCAACAGTATTGCATCCATCAGGTGGGGCTACACAACCACATCTTACCGACGGAATTTTTCATGTCATGGTACATGCAACTCAGGCTGAACTGCCTCAAGACAAAAATATGTAGCTAAAGTAAACGGGGTAGGATGCATTTGATTGGCGACGCACCTTTCAGGGAGAAACGAGCATGGACTACCTCGTGAACAAGAAATCAAAGATTCGAACGACAAAATCAATTTAAAAGTCTACGCGAGAGGATAATCGAAACCTCATCTTTGGTCGGCCAATTGGTGCTTATGAAAATTGACGGATACTTTTGGTGGTATGTTTGTCTGGTATGGCAAAATGATTTTTACAGAGCGCCTCCAAGCAGATGATTCCAGCTTCGTAAAAGAAAAGACGGGCACTGGAATTTCATTCGCTGTTGTGTGGCCAAACCGGACGACCGAGGATCCGGGTGTTTCTTCTTTGTCGGGTCGGGTTGAATGTAGATCAAAGTCCGACACGGTTGCCCCATGATTGTAGGAACCGGTGCTTTCAAGACAGGCTAGGGCGCGAAACCTAGTAATCGATTGCCCATCGGCGAAGAAACTACTTTTTCGCGCTGTTTTATTTGTTTCTGGTCGCATTTGAGACAGCAACTGCTCCTCACCTACCATGTGAAGTATGAGTTACCCACATGCAGAGTATAAAGACTATTTCCACAGAAGCATTCCAGTGTTTGATTGGTTCAGTATGTGATTTCATCTGTTGCTGCCCACAGCTGGAGGAATATTTACTTAAAGTTACCGTAACATTCATACGTATCCTTAGCTGCCGCATTTTCTTGCTCAAATCATTGGAATTAGAACATATACGCAATTGACAATTCTTTCTTTTGCTGGAATGTATGAGATAACTGGCAAACCTGGACCGGTGCTCACCTGTTCAACTGGTTAGTATCAAATTCCAAAACGCATCACCATAATGTCGAATTGGACCTGCGCTGTTGTTGTCACATGCATGCTTATTGCCTCTGACTGGGTCACAACAATTAAAATCCCTACCACAAGAACTTGGAAGTAGTCGAAGAGAGGCCCACGAAGTGGATAAGAGGTCATTTTTGTCCCAAAATATCGTTCCTTGTGTTAGGTCGAGTTCTCAGAAAACCAGTTCTAAATAGAACTATTTCTGAAAGAAGCTTGGATGTAATTCTGAGGATAAAAACGGACTCACTGTCTAGGAAGATCCACTGACTTGGAAGACATCGATTTATCTGTACGCGACCGTCTTGTGAAGGAGAAAAGTCCGGTTGGAGGTCGCTTTTGTTGATAAGGGTGCGAACAGCGCCGAGGTCAGTGTGCGCACCAATGTTCAGACTAGCGAAGAAGCGGGCTGCAAGGATGGTGGGATAATGATAACCTAGAAGTCCATGTATATAAGGAGGTGTACAGCCAAAGTCAAGCGAGACTGAAGTAGAACATTACCGACGAAGATAAAGGAGACTGGAATGGCCGTTTCTGACTTATTAGTCGTTATCAGTCACCCATACTAACCCCAAAGTGTGCAACATCTAGGGCTTGAACTCGCGACTTGTTGGTTAGATGTCCACGCCTATAACCATTGCGCCACGAGTCCGTTGCCCTGTCGGTTTCGATCGGGAATATACAATGGTAGGGGGACGCTCACCGATCGTTCTTACGGAACTCACTCGTTCCGTTGTGTCTCACGGGCTCTCTCTCTCTAGCCCAACCAACAGCCGCAGAGCGTCGCTTGATATAGGCAGAATGGTATTACTGACAGGAAAACGGGTCCGTGGCCCAGTGGTTTAGAGGCGTGGACTTCTAACTAACAGGTCGCGGGAGTGAGCCTCAGGTGTTCCACACTTCGGGGTTTGGTATGACTGGCTGACGACGACTAATCTGCCAGAACTGGCCATTTCAGTCTCCCTTTTCTTTGTCGATAATGCCATTCTGCCTATATGATGCGCCGATGTGAGGCTTCTGGTTAGGCTCGAGAGAGAACCCGTAAGTCACAACGGAACGAGTGAGTTTCGTAAGAACGATCGGTGAGCGTCCCCCATCATAGTATATTCCCGATGGCAACCGGCTGAACAACGAGCCCGTGGCCCAGTGGTTACGGACATTGGACTTTTAACCAAGAGGTCGCGGGAACGAGCCTCGGTTGTTCCACACTTCGGGGTTGGGTATGACTGGCTGACGACGGCAAATAAGCCAGGAATGGCCATTTCAGTCTTCCTTCTCCTTGTCGATAATACCATTCTGCCTATATCATGCGCCGCTGTGTGACTGCTGATTGGGCTCGAGAGAAAACCCGTAAGGCACAGTGAGACAAATGAGTTCCGTAACACGATCGGTGAGCGCTCCTCTACCAGAGACTGAAGTGCCTATTTCGGGCTTGTTAGCCGTCGTCAGTCAGTCACGAACAGCTCAGTTCTGGATGACCTGGGATCCGTAGTTAAGATACACCATCGCATCCATCGTCCCCTAGAAATAGTAAGAAAAAGAGGACCCGTGCACATGGAACGAACTATATTTATCCTGACGCCTCATAATCTTCGAGTTTTCCAAAATCAGAACGGCAAGGCGACCGATACTTATGACCTTAATTTATTAAGTCACAGCTGCTACCTCGCATTATAACCATGTTCGATGCACGAAATTCCACCTGCCTCTAACCTCGCCGTGGTCAACCGTTGGTTGACCCCGCGTGCCCTCGTCTACTTCGCAGTCGTCGCAGTTACAACTAGACCTCCAAACATCATCATCATCATCATCATCATCATCAGGCCTGTACAGGGCATCTTCCTGCGACCCTATTACTTCCCGCCACCACCACCGCCGCATCGATGAGTCTTTCTGTCCCTTCTCCCACTCCCCCCGGCGCATCTACTTCCTTCCTCCGCCACCCAGCGCTGCGTACATCAACGCATGCACATGTGTTTATTTATATATGTATATAATCGAACTTTTGATTTTTTCTGTCGTTGTCTTCTCACGTCGCCCTCTCCATCCCATCACACTCTCTGTGGTTCTGTATTTCCGCCTTTTTGTAAAATGGTGAGGAAAATAAGTAGATGGACGCGCGCGCGCCCACACGCCCCGTGACTTGTTTTCTACCCTGGACTCGGTCGAAACGGCATGTTGTTGAGGAGTACTTTTCAGATCATGGGGAAACGTGAATGGCTACCAGCCAAAAGAACGAGGCTGAGTTTCATAACATGAGAGGGCCGTGGGTCACAGCTCGGCGATTGGCCAGAGTAAACTCTGCACCAGGCGGCAAACAAAATCACTGAAAGCTGCTTGGTCACGACAAACACTCCTCTCTGCACCCCCCGATCGCCAGGCACAGTCTACGAAGCTGGGTAGAGTTATAATGAATCTGCTGCGACGTTTTGCGCAGTATCCGGGTTCAGAAGTCGGCGCTCCGAGCATTGCCCGGTGTTGGCTGTGGTTGCGTCATGCCTCCGCTGACAGGAACATGCAAAGAGGGGTTAAGGGAGCGCGCGCGACCCACTCGCTGTATGTGGCCTGGTGACAAACCTTGTCTGTCGTAATCCTAATTTGGACTCGGAGGCCCAATCGTGTACCTCTACGGTTAAACCGGCCTGCCACGTGACCCTACTCGCTTTGACGTTTACTCATCTACTTTAGAGGCTTTGTCACCACACCTCAGAATGGATTCTAAGGCTGAACGATGCTGTTTTCATTGGTGACTGTCAAATTTGTTGCCTCAGGTTGAGTAGGCGCGGACAAGCGGGGTGTGCGGTCATTCGCGATTGCTGTATTCACTGACACCGTCACCATGAACAGATAAAATCCTGATAGGCGGAACGACCTACACCCTACGTAAGCTCAGGATGCATGACGCAACTGCGAGACATTCGACGAACCAGGGTGTATCCCTGTGGTGAGGTGCCGGACTAATTTACCTTTGACAATTTAGCCCCATTTTCTTTGCTCGGATTGTTTGTTTGAATGTGACGAGAAACGCCTAATCTTTACAACCCGTCTTGCTGGCCTGCGTTGCTGTCGCGCTCTGTTGTCAGGTTACTTTACATTCAGAATCTCTATATTATTCCCTGCTCAGTTTTACTTGCTGCCTTTAAGGCTAGGGGCTCGTGAGATATAACTGGTTAGTTCGTGAGAACATTACGATTTACGTAAACCCACTCTTTCCTTGTGGTTTCTACCGTACACTTTTCTTTGTATCGCCTCCTATCGTGCTTTGGGGTCCATTCCATAGTCCTTGTGAGAAGTCGCTTGGCCACCAGTAACATGCGTGGAGAAGGAACCTCGACAAAAACAAGGCAGGTCCGGATGATCATTTTGATTTGTTAGACGTCGTTAAGAGGCCCTATTTAACCCAAGGCTTGGAAGACTTGGGATTCGGGCCGACTTTTTTGAGCATTTAGTAGCTAATTAGGGTAGCGTTTAACTACTCAGCCACGAGCTCGTTTTGCTGCCGGTTGTGGCGTCAACCGGGTGTCAGTAATACAGTAGATGTGTTAACTCGTGAAATGCGTTTTCAACTTGAAAAGATTACTTAAGTAGGGTTGTAGTATTAATCACTCTGCAGCTAGTGGACCTCACACTCGACTTCCCTGTTGCCCAGAATGTAAAAAAACCAATGAGATTTAGGGAAAACCAGAGAGCCAATCGTTTGGGCCCAGTTTTTATGAAAGACTTACTTAACATTAACGAAGTGTATTCCAGAGCACCTCTCGTCAAGAGTGACCATATTACGTTGCTGTGGGACAAGTTGCGCTTCTCTCAACACCAGGAGAGAACGTAAGACTAACCTGGTATATGGAAGGTAGATCTTAACATGACGAAGGACCAATCGATGTCCGTAAATTCAGACTGTTTGCCAAAGTGAGATCCGGAGGGCGACTGGAGATCGTTTAAGACGATTTCAATCGATGTACTTCGGCGCTGTTATCAAGAGGAGATGCAAAAAAGACACGTTGCCCTGCCTAGTTAATTAGAGAACTGAAGAGACAGTAAAGATAGAAAAGTAAAAGAAGACAGATATTCAGGGAAGCTGGGTCACCAGCACACCCCGAAGAGTTTCGTCCTACAGTCAAAATGCATGCGTCAGGGAAGGGAGGACTATGAATCCAGAATTATCCAGCATGCTGAAAAAAAGCTGAACACTTTAGCTCACAATATAAACAGTCGACTAAAACAAGGGATCCAATCGCAGTGCTGAGTGATAATAATGGTGTGTAAATCGTTGAAGACGGCGAGAGCGTCGGACGTTTGGAACGGTTCATTGCGTCAGGATTCGCTGGGGTGTCGGAGTTTCAGGGCCACAATTTCAGCAATGGGGTTGTGACCACTGGTCCCGTACTTGAATCCATATTATTCCCAGCGCTTTTCGTGGCAAGAGAGCTACAGAATCTCAAAGAACAAAGTCGTGGGGGCCGGACAATGTACCGGACAAATTTCTGAAAGAATTGGCGAACGAACTCTCTAAGCACCTGGCATACATCTTACATTCGTCATCCGAAGTAGGGAGACTGCCATGCGAATGGAAGACAGCAAATACCTATTTAATATACAACGGTGGGACTTGCACTCGTAATAACAATTTCCGGCCCGTCAGTATCGCGTGCATTTGCCGAAAAATAATGGAAGTCACACTTAGGAAAGCAACAATGAATTTCCTGGAGGCGAATCATTTACTATCAGGGCTCCAGCACTGCTTCAGACAGAACTGCACATGCCTTTCCAGTTTACTGTCCTCGACCGAGCAGTGGACTCGCTCACTGGAGGATGATGGAAGGGTCGATATCATCTACGCAAATTCCAAGAAGACGTTCAACAGCATCCCACACAAACATCTAGTCTATAAATTGTCTGAATTTGGAAGAGGGGGAAAAGTTGATGACATGGGCTGCATATTTTCTTATGGGAGATCACAAACCGTGGATAGAGCATCGTCATCATGTTTACTGACGATGTTAAGTTGTGGAGAGCCAATGGATCGTGTGCAGATAGGCACGCGTTTCAAGAATGTTCCAACCAACTTGGCAGCTGGTCTCCTCGTTGACTCCCAATTTTAGTGTGGAAAGGTGTGTGCCCTGATACTCCGCACCTGAAGGACCAGTAAGGAGGATGATTCCTTTCAGTACCTCATTACTGGGCACCCCCCTTAAAAAGTTCAGGAACAGAAAGACCTTGACGTCCTAATGACCTCGACCCCTAGACCATCTTCACGATGTCAAAAGGCAGCCAAATGCGCGATACGGGTCTTATTTGCGCTGAGGCGAGGCTTTTGTGCATATCGATAAGGAGTTGTTCGGAAAAGCCTAGGGGGCATTAGTTCGGCCTCACTTTGAGTACTCCGTCCAGGCCTGGCGACCGTGGCTCAGGAAGCATTATCAACAGCTGGAAAGAGTACAGACGGTGGTTGCGAAAATGGTCAGGATTCTTCGTCACCTGCTTTACGAAATTAGACTGGCTGAGCTTGATTTTCTTCCCCTCAATTACAGGCAACTGCGTGGCGAGCTCATTCAAACCTACCATACCGTCAGGAGTCGTGAATCTGCTGTAGACTATGATGACTTCTTCGAATTGGTTGGGACAGCACTGCTATCCCCTTAAACTGCAGGGAAAGCTCCTCCAAACAGACGTCCGACGAACGCCTTCTTGTAGAGGGTCATTGGAGCATGGAACGGACATACTTACGCGGTTGATCGTCTCTAAACTTTTGAATCATTTAAATGAAGACTAGATGTCTACTTTTTGAGAAAATACTGTACATATAAACACGGTTGTGACATTGGCGGCAGTTCGCGTCTGGCTAACAAATGCCGATAACTTTAGAATTTCCAGAAGTACCGATGTAATAATTGATTTAGTTGCTATTTTTGGATACGGATAGTGAGTTCAAGGGCGAAAGCCTCATCCAAATGGTAAACCCACTAAACTGGCAAGACTATTTTCCTATTCCCACCCACCCCGCGCAGTTTCTCCTATGACTTCGCCCGCATTTTCCTCCCAGGATGTGGTTTCGCACGCCATGAACTCTCGCCAGAAATTTCGATCTCTTCTGCCTATGCATTGTGACCTGCGAACGCGATGTCCTTCCCAACCCATCTCTCAGTCGAGCAGTCGGGAGTCCATTAACCCACACGCTCTAGGCCGCCTTCCCTCTTCGTCATGATTCCGTTCTGACCACTGGGATATCGTGACCTTACCCGTATTGCCGGTCTCACCATAGGTCCGCCGAAAAGGACATCCGCGTGATCACTTGCAAATCTGAGTTTATAATTTCCTCCTACCCCCAGGGGAAACTTAGTCTGATACTTGATATTACTTTGCGAAGCGGTTTACTATCCTTCTAAAAATTGTTGCCGACGTTTCGGCTCCCTGAATTATCCCTACGCTTTTAATTTAGAAATTTTTTTTGCCTTCCTCGTCCAGAGTTCGTCTGCTTATCTAAAACCACTAAGTTTGGGGCGTTTGGGGATTTTATTATCATGAGTATCATATGCGACAAGAAAGATCGCTGTCGGGTGTCAAAACTTTTTTTATTTTCCGTAGCACAACTTTCACATTTTACTGTATAGTTGGTTGTTTATACAGAGCTTGAGCTCCACATTACTGTCTACATTTTGCTGCTTGGGTCAGCGTTTTTGCACTAACCGCTCCAGGACGTTTCGCGATGCGGTTATTATTCAGAGGTGCATTTGGCGGGCATATGCGTTCAGAAAACGATGATGCGATCGCTGGAACAGGAAATTTATTGGCCTGACGTTTCGGATTCTCGCTCAGGCTCATCATCAGAGACAGTCGCAGATAAGGGCAATGGTGGCACAAGGAGTGCAGTATTTATAGCACGTGGCTGCCGTGGGACCGTATGCGCACTGCAATTAACAGTTCTCACAATCGCCGCTTGGGTAGTAATTGATGCGATGGTGGCTTGTCAGTCCGCGTCCGAGTTGTTAATTGCCGTCATTTCGTCATCCGTGCTGGATGCTGGTGTGACGATTGCTCGACAAATTGGCTCACTGTCACTGGGATAATTGCTCGCCCACGCCCTCCCCAAGTGACTCATTCCCCTGCCCAGGGGAAATCTCAGCACGGAATACGGTAGCGCGAGGTCGTTGCGCTTGTTGATCGGTTGCGGGCCTGAGAACCATGACTCGAGCAGCTCGCGGCTCACGCGGTTGTCATCCCTTACGAGGATTTCGGCCTCTTGAAATTTGAAAATATGGCCGGGTCCCGTCGAGTGTGCCGCCACTTGAGAGTTAGCGTCTCCCCGCCTCACTGCTGCTGCGTGCTCGGCAAGTCGCGTACGGAGTAATCTCCCAGTTTCTCCGACATAATTGCTTTGTCCGCAACTACACCAGATCCGGTAAACGACTCCAGACGTTTCCTGCCTTGGCAGCGGGTCTTTTGGCCTCATTACTTGGCGCCTAATGGTTGCTTCCGGCCTGTGTGCAACCCCAACTCCAAGTGGAGTGAGAAGACGACTGACGGCTTCCGAGACGTTCTTCACGTACGGAAGAGCCCGCCAAAATTTGGGGCTAGTTGGATTTGGTCTCTGGTGTCCTTTTCGTATGCACTGGTTGACAAAGTTGCGCGGGTAGCCATTGGCTCTCATTACCCGTCGAAGATATTGTAATTCAGCAACCTTGTCTTCCATTTCACTGCAGTGCGTCTCAACACGCCGGCATAGCGCCCTTACGCAACTGCGTTTGTGACTGATCGGGTGGTTGCTATTGAAGTTCAGTATTTGCGTCGTATTTGTCGCTTTCCTGAACACTTTGGTTTTTAGGCCACCACAATGTTTGCGGCAGACGAGGACATCCAGGAAGGCCAGCTGATTGTTTTCCTCCTCCTCCATCGTAAATTGAATGTCCGGGAAGACGGCGTTGAGTTGTTCTTTGAAAGTCAGCACCTGATCCCGTTCGATGACGACGAAGGTGTCATCCACATACCGAGCCCAGAATTTCGGTCTGTGGTGTCGGAAAACCAGCGACTCCAGCCGTTGAAGGACCGCCTCGGCTATGAGTCCCGAAATCGGCGAACCCATTGGCGTTCCCTTCACCTGCTCGTAGATTGTTCCGCCGAATGTAAAGTACGTCTTGAGACAGAACTTCAGGAGCTGGATGATTTGGGCGTGTCCGAGGCGATTCTCCGTTTCGTCGTACTTCTCTCGTAGGAGTAGTTCGATTGTCTCGACTGCCAGGTCCTGCGGGATAGACGTAAAAAGGGACGTGACATCAAAGGAAACCATGATATCGCTTGGCAGGAGACTTACTCCTTTAAGTTTCTCCAAGAATTGCGTTGACGAGCTGACTGTGGTGTTCGAATCGGAGGTCAGAAACTTGAGACGTTGGAACAGCCACTTTGCCAGTCCGTAGGTTGGAGTGCCCTTTAGTGATACGATAGGCCGGAGAGGAGCGCCCTCTTTGTGCACTTTTGGGAGACCGTAGAATCGGGCTAGGGCCGTTTCTTGTGCTCTCGCCATGCGTCGGTCGATTGGCGATATTGCACCTGAGTTCTCCATGCCCAACAGCGTCGCGTTAATCTCGCGTGTCAGCGTTTTCATGGGGTTGGATTCGCATGGGACATAGGACTGACGATCCTCCAACAAGCTTTTGGCTTTTTGATTGTAGTCTGTCCTGTCCAATACGACCGTTGAACGCCCCTTGTCCGCAGGCACGATAACGAGGTCGTTGTCTGCCCTGAGTTCCTTAAGTGCATCGCGCTCGACCTTGGAAAGCACGTCGCGTGGCCTATGAGCCATGAGGAGCGATGACACTTGGTGTCGAATGAGGTTCTTCGTTTCGTCTGTCGCTCCCGTCTGGCTGAGGATTGATTCCACTGCTGCGATCATGTTGACAGGTTTGGCATCGGCTGTGTTGAATGAGGCCTCATGCCGTAAAACCTGCATTTGTTCCTCCGTCAGCTCCTGGTGCCACCTTCACCTCTATCTGCGAATGTCTCTGATGATGGATTCGAGTGAGAATCCGGAACGTCAGGCAAATAAACTTCTTGTCCCAGTGATCGCATCTTCATCTTCTGGGGGCTGAGATTGTTGTTTGCATGGTTTCGATCTTGGGTCTGGCGCCCTGCGAGATATGATCGCATCGCGGGCAACGCAGTCGTCAGCTTTACTTGAAGCACGCTTGTCCCGCGGTCGCCAACGTTTTAGAACTGCTTTCCCTTTGGCATATTGGGAAAACGTTTCGAATTAGCGCAGAGCGCTGGTGGGGTTAAATTCCTCCAATCCGCTGTAATTTAAAAGTTTGGGTGGGCAGTTATGGTTGATTAGGCATGTGATTACTGCTTACACGTGTCTGCATCTGCACCCCATACACGCAAGAGAGCACTCCAGACGTCAGACTGCAGACAAACTTCCAAAGCCTTTTCACTTTTTGAGGTCTACAATGCGTTACGGTGTCCTAGAGGTCACCTCGCGAGGGCAGGTGATAAGCGCCTTAACAAGCGACCCTTCACCAGAGACATTGTTACGTATACTCACTGATGGGCAGGACAAAAATGACCTTACAAGGACGCCCCGAAGACCTCATTCAGGCACTTGCAAATCGACTCAGAGAAGTTGGAGGACGCGAAGAAGGAGACACGATCGTCGGAACAAGAGCTTTACTAGCCTGACGTTTGGGATCCTCATTCGGGTCCATCATCAGAGACAGAGTTAGATAAGGGGCAGTGCATTGCCCTGATGTTGCAGTATTTATGGGATGTAGTTGCTAGGCCGCTACATGCCTATCACAGTTCGCAGCTCTCGAGTGCATCACGGCTTGACTATCCAGGTGCTGAAGTATTCGGTTGCTATGTGCTTGTGTGCCGGTCAGGATTATTGGCTCCCAGGCTCATCGCCTGCCCGGTTTCGTTATCCGTGGTCAATTTGGGGAACAGTCCATCCCTAGCGCAATTGTGGCCCATTTGGTTGACATCGGTCACGGGGTAGACGTCAAGCAAGCATTCCGAGTCATCTATAAAGTGTCGGTGATACACTCAAAGTTCCTGCGTCAGAGAATAATTGCGACGGCAGAGACAGTGGCCATACGGTTGCCAACCCAGGCTTGTGCTCCCATAAAGCGTTTGTACAACCGCTAAGGCATACGTATCCACACCCGCCACGTAGCGTTATAGCGATGAAACACGGACAACTATTGGCTAGACACCTTTTCCCTCCCCCTTCCCCTCCCTAAGCCCCTGACAGAACTAGAATCTGACCCCTGACCCCTAAACGTCCCTCAACCCTCTCCCACCTATTGACTTCTATTGGATGTTTAAATTTTGTTACTCTTCCCTCCCTTATATTACTGTGCAGGCCTGATGATGAGTAATCGAAAGCAAACGTTTGCCGGACATGAATTCTTAAATTATCAAAATGTCTCCCTCCTGATGTGGGTAATCATCTTGACGGCTACGAAGTTAAACTAACCACCCGCTACGTAGGTGCGGGCAGCAACTTGCGATAATCCGTCATCCCTTCGCACAGCCAGCCCATGTTTGTTTATGCGCAATCCTTGCATGCATTCAGTCTAACCTGCATAATTACACGGTCATTTTGGGCACGGGATGTCCACGTGTTCACACCCGCCATGTCACGGTACAGAAATGAAACAGGGACAGCTAGTTGTCTGAAACCTTCCCCCTCCCCCTCCCTAAGCCCCAGACAGAACTAGAATCTGACCACTGACCTCTGAATGCCCTTCAACCCTCTCCCGCATATTGGCTTTTATTGGATGTTTGACTTTTGCAATTCTCCCCTCCCTTATATTACTGTACAGACCTGATTATGAATAATCGAAAGCGTACGTCTGCCGGACTTGACTTCAAATTATATAAGTAAAACTGGTTAGTATGATAAGCTAGTAAGCATGGATAACCGAAATTGCCCTGCAACTGACGGGAATGGTAAATCTATACTAATTGACTACTTACAGAAGTGGATACTTTAAGCTGTACTTACTCCAACTTTGAAAAGTGCGGAAACAAGTTTGTGGTCGCTAATACGTAACTCACCCTGGAAACGGGAGAGAAATTGTTCAATGTACTTGCCGCTTCGCAGAATTCAGTCGCAGTAGGATGGCAGTCGACCTTCGCTGTGATGACAACAAAAAGCAGTCGTCAGGAAGTAAGTCGATCATGTCATTGCAACAAAAGAGACTTAGAAATCAGTAGAGAAGTCCTGGAATGTATTAGATGGTCGAAAAGGCTGATAATGGTCTACTTTGCATGCACCAGAGTGCAGTTTCTTTGGTGGGCGCATTCTTCCAACTCAGACACTCCTGTTGATTTTCGATCTCATGGTACTTAACAAGCACCCGCAGTGACCAGATTTCAACATGAATGACCAATGAGTGACTGGCGGTTGGTGAAGCTTTCCCTCATCCCTAATAGCAAAATGAGCTCTCGACGAGCTCGCACAGAACTCGGTTCACGAGGTACGCGAGCTCTATTGGAGCTCTGATGTGGTCATTAATTCGAGCTCGCTCAGTGCTCGCCAAAACGGGCTCGAAACGAGCTCCGAAAAACGGCATGCGAGCTCGTTCCGAGCACGACCCGAGCTCCAAAAAGCGAGCTCCAGCGCCTTCTCAACCAGGGGTCCCCCTTCCCTTGTACTCCCTCACCGCTTTACATTTCCTCAAATTCGCCCCATTTAAGTAATCAAAGGAACACATGTAAAGATAAAAAGTACTGTATTCGTAAAAAAATACAGCACATCGGGTGATTCTTGGAATTAACTAAAGCCTTAACGCTGTTGGTCTCCACTTTGGGCCGTTGGATCCTCGATTGTTGTAGGGAGGTCTAAAATGGAAAGATTTCACAAGGGTAAGTGAACAAAATCTGGCCATTAATATTTGCTAGTAGCATGACTATATAAATATTTACCTTGTGTTTGTTGGCTGGTTGAAGCCCTATGGCACTTCTTTTGGTGTCGGTCATGCGGCTTTTTAAAGGCATTTTTCAATGCAGTTTCTAGTTTTTGACTGTCCAAATGGTGCTCTTCATTACATCTATTGAAAACCTCTAAAATGCACTTGTTCAGTTGGTTAAGTCGGAAATCCTACCCAGGATGACGGAATAGATAGGAGTTTCAAATGAACCCCATACTCCCCGCTTTTCTGCCGTAGAACGTCTGAAAACCGGTAACGTCCTCCGTAAAAAGGGTGAAGAAAAGTCCTTCAGCAAAAGCTGATGTTTTTTTTTCACCTCCTAGTGACGACAAGTACGATACCTGAATTCGGAATTTATATAAACATTTATGATAAACGTACTATATTTCTAATACTGACTAGTTTACCATCAATAGCCACTGAGCCATCACCGACTGCTGTACCAAATTACTAAGTCACCTTTTTGAATACATTAAAATTGTGAAAATGTACCACTACGTTGTGGTAGTGGAACATCTACATGTGGCCGTTGGCACGTCTATTCCGTATTTATGTAGACATCGCGTGTCACACACTGTAATTCGCCTACCCTACGCACTACTTGCTGTAGTGATTGCGATGGTTTCCTAAACAAACGCTTTAGTCTGCCAAGGTAACTTTCGAAGGGAAAGGATGAAAAACTGTCATGCGGACCATGTCGTGTAACATCGTCCGCCAAGTGCACAATGCTGTGAACATTGTATACCATTTCCTTCTTCCCGTACAATGAGGAAAATCTATCGACAGGCATTCGCATTACATGGCTACAAAAGGGAGCCTACTGCCTGCATGAACGTGGCCGTACTAAGCAACGTTTTGCTGTGAACAGCAGTAAGAAATGCTTTCAAAACCTACGTGGAAGCACGCCATTAAGAATAAGTATTCCAGTGTACAGCAAGAATTGGCGCAGTTCGTTACCCTTCCACGTGTCCATGCCATTTAATGACCTAGCGCGCTGCGAAAATTCTCCCGGCAGGTAGGTGTTCAGCGCGCGCAAGTCCTTATTTACGCAGCCACAAGTTCAGAAGTCTTCTCATAACACCTAGGTAAACCAAATGTAAAGGATCTAAAAGGGAAGGAGCTAACCATTCCTACATTGCATGCCAGCAATGGCAACACGCCAATGCGGTGGCAGTCACCGCCACGCAAACCATCACTATTCAACGACAATTAATCGTCGACCAGTGGTTTTCAGAACGCCTACACGTTCGAAGGCTTCCCGACCCCGCAGTACATACCTACAGTGAAAACTTTGCCTAAAATTGGCTCCACAATTCTACCTAAAATAGGCCAAAACTCACGTTTAGTCACATATGTTCTGTGTGGACATTCACGGGCGTGGAAAACGGACGACACTACTGCCACATCCACTAGTATGGTATTCGCATCCGGTGTTGGCAATTGAAAACGGTTCAAGTTAAATCGACAGAGGAGAGAGGGAGGCCAGCATGAGGAAACCTTAGTCACAGTAACGTTACGCGCATTTGGGCTCTTAAAGAAAGTTCAAAGTCCTGATCTGGTGCCAGAAGGCAATTTTATTCGTCAGACGTCAAAACATCAACCTTATATGCCTGGCAGGGCATTTAAAAGTAACGCCTTGTGGGCGTGATTTGGAAGCGGATGAAGGAGTCTGATCCCCAGTGGCAAGATGCTAAGAAGAAACCATTTTTAAGCATGAATTTTGCTAGAGCTTACGTGATAAGTGACCCTTATTTTGCAAATGCGCTTACTTATACAATTACATTTACACTAACCCAAGAATGATATGAACGTATTCTGGGTGATAAAGGGGGCGACTTTCGAGGTGTCTACCTCGCTCCCTCTTCTCCGTCCAACATGTTTCAGTGATACATCGAGTTAACGACAGAGGGGGTGGTCGACGTAGGCCCAGTGACTCGTGTTACTAGATCCACCTGCGTGCTAATAAAACACGCGCGGACTCGTGCACGCATACATCATCAGCTCGACTAAACATTTTAAC